CAAGGTTTCAAGAGCAGGGAGAGGCTTGGGGTGGGAGGGCTATGCTTCTTTTAATACAATTTCCCGTAAAATACAGCACCAAGGGACATGTGCAACAGCTGTGTTGTGAAGTGTGGCCCTGTGGTGCTTCTCTGCAGTCGCCCTTGGTTTTGCTTCCATGTGTGTCTGTCGCTGCCTGTTCCCTCCTGCTGGAGCCCGGCTCCCTTTGGGCAGTGTTTGCCTGCGCCAGCCTGTGGCTCTTCCAAGGGTTTCTCTCTCCTGATCGTATCTTGCCACCCGCTGGCGCGGGCAGTGACTGGGGAAGGGCCTTGCTTCCCCGAACAGGGGTGGAGGAGCTCTCCGGGGGGTGCCCCACTAGCCTGGGACTTGGGGCTTGGAGAGGAGGGAGGAGGAAAAGGGGGGGACTTGGGTGAGGCCGAAGGTCTTCCTGCTGGGGGATCTGCTGGCAGGGCGCGGAGGCGAGGGCTGAGCAGAGGGCCGGGGTGCGCCAGGATGCCGGCCCGTCAGGAGAGAGGAGCCCGCAGGTGCGTTTGCCTCTCCATTGTGAGGGCCCAGCCAGGCCTCTTTCCAGCCCTGGCCTGCAGGGAAATGGATTTCAGTGGAAACAAATATGCACCTCTTGCTCAAACCTTTTCTTAGGGAAATCCTCTTAAAAAGTGAGTATTTGGGTTTATTCCAGTGCATTGTTTCAGAGGCACCTGTGCCTTCATGCTGTGTTCTTTCCTGTTGTTTTTAGGCCAGCAGAGCTGTGTGTTTGCCAGCGGTGTTTTCACACTGTCCTGAGGAGGTTCCACCCTTGGTGATCACCTGCTCTTTCTCTGCAGTTACCTAGAGCAGCCCCAGATGTCCAGTGAGAGGCTCCTGGCTGATTAGATCAGCTGCCAGCAAGGAGGGACACCTGTGGAAGGCAGAAGTGACCTTTGCAGCAATGAGATTCCTCAGCCACTCGCTGCTCCTGAGGTTCTTGGGTCTCTCATCCCAGCGTGTGTCAGCAGGGCTGAGGCAAACTCCTGTGCTCAGCCCCAAGCAATCGTCTCTGAGGGAGAGCTTCAGCACAAGATCAGGGCTGGTGACTGCTGCTGAGGTGGTCAAATACTGGCAAAAAGTGTTTGAGGCAAACGGGATCCCTGAAGCACGTGAATCCAGTGAATATATCGTGTCCTTTGTCCTGGGAGCAAAAACAGTTAAGTAACAGGAAAGGGGTAAGGTCTGTGTGTGCCTCCCACTTTGTAACTTTGGCTGAATTCTTTACCTCTCTTTTTGGCCCACTTCTGGCGGGTAAAATGACTTTTTCTTGTGTCAGATGGGAGAGCTTGCGTGGCACAGCTTATTAATGCCACTAAAGCTCTTGGACTCTCCCAAATACTTCCTTTGCAGAGAATGAAATGTAACTCCTGACATGTACACCCATACTGTACTCTGACTTTTTTTGCTCTTTTTACTTATTCTTTCACCCCTGAAAAATAGTAGAAGTTCTTTTAGAGGTTTGTTTTTAAGCATCCAGATAGCCATTTGGGATTCCTCACAGAGCTCATGGCTCTGTTTTTACAGCTTAAAGGGAAGCAAAAGAGGATGCTGGAATTGCTCAGGTTTTGATGTGTCGTCATCTTCAGTTTCAGAGTTTGAACTCCAGACTCCTATGCACTCTGCTCACCGCAGTGCAGCAGGAACAGATCCAGCAGCTGAGCACCAAGCGACTGGAAAGGTGGGAGCATGCCCTGGCAGCCCTTCCAGTGGTCGGTTTTCCTTCAGCCTTAATGCAGCAAGGAGAACGGAGGCAGAAGGCTGTTCGCAGCTGGTGTGGGTGGGTAATGGTTAGGGCTTGGGTTAGTCCCATGTGACGAGTCAGGTGAAGGCCATTTGCAGTTATTTTCAGGTAGCAAATCATATCTTTGTCCTGAGTGGGAACAAAGACCGTTTAAGGGATGTTTATAAGCAGCAGGTAGCTGATAATACTGACTCTGAGTCAGGTACATATCTTCATGGGTAATATGGTTAATAATCAGTATGGTATTGAGAGCTTCTCTGTGTTAAGTATTGTAATGCTAAAGTGCTTCTGCTTGCTCCTGCCTCATAGGATGCCAGTACAATATGTTCTTGGTGAGTGGGACTTTCAGGACCTGACTCTGAAGATGAGGCCCCCGGTATTTATTCCTCGACCTGAGACAGAGGTATGGGAATGTGGGAGCTGAGTGATTTGAACCTCTTTAGTGCGTTGCTGTGAATGGGTCCTGTACACATGAGGCTGCAGTGACGAGGAGGTCTGATTGCTCTGTGCCCCTTTTAGAGAGGAAGGCTCTAAAAGGGAGTCTGGAACTGCTGCTGGTGAATTTTGCTTCCTGACTCAGAGCAAGAGAGGTGTTTCAAGCTCTGGCATATCTCCTGGTTACACAGAGGTCTGTCTGCAGTGATGGAAGGACTTGGCAAGCTTTCCTCTGCTGTGCTAAGGACTCCTCTAGCAGCTCAAAAACAGTGTGGCTGCAATGACTTTGTGGCTTCCAGTGACTTAGCACTTTGGCTACAAGGGTAAAAATTTGTAATTTGTTTAAAGTTTGTTAACAAAATCAGGCAGTATTAGTAGAAAAGCTACTACTGGCAAATGGTAAAGGACTTCAGAGCGCTCATTTGCCCATATGCAGATTAAGACATTTTAGGAAATGGCAGCTATCACCTGTCTAACTTCACAGTGGTTTTTGGAAAGGCACTGGGAAGTGGATGTTTACTACTTCTGCTAGGCTCCATATAGGTAAGTTCTGACCTGGGGTGAAATTAATATGTCAGTTTTAAGACGGTAAAGGACAACTGTACTAGATCATTTTGCCCAATGTTCTGGCCACCAGAGAAAACTGGAAGGACTGCATAGTGATACTTCCCCTCATAACAGCCTTGCTTTCAGCTCAGGAGCAGCCTAGCAAGGAAGTCCTCAAGGTTTACTAGCCTCAGGAGGTTTTGGGTGTCTTTACTTCTGAGAATTTGTTTGCTCTTGGGGAACCTGTTAGCCTTTAATAGTCTCCATAGCCCATTTAGTAGTCCCAGAGGCCTGTTTTTATTATTTTTACCTCCCTATACTTTTCAGAAGGCACAGCTAAAGGGTCTTACTGGCTTAAAGATGGTGTGGGCCGTTAGCAACACTGCACGGAGAGGCTCCTAGGCCCTGAATCGTGACAGTAACACTTGTGTCCAGTGAAATTTTCAGCTTCCTGTTGACTGTTTGATCCCGTCATGGTAAACTTTGGAGATGCAGCATAAAGTAATAACTTAGGGGGATCCTGCTGTCATTGATTCCAGAGAGTATTTCCAACCTCTTAAGTGTCCCCATTAATTTGTGGATGCAACAGGAGCATTAAAACGGAGAGAACTTTTGTATTCTGCAAGTGAAAGCATCTGCCGACAGGACTTCCTGTGGGGTTGGTCTCTAACTCTCTCCATGCAGTGTCAGGCTTCAAACAAAGCCCTGTTGTGTTCAGGGCAAGCCAGGATTGCCAACATCAGAGATTATTGATAATTGTACCCATATGCGTGATTTTGGTAAAAAAAAAAAAAAATATCTCTGCTGGCACAACTGAATCCTGTTGCGTTCAGGGCAAGCCAGGATTGCCAGCGTCAGAGATTATTGATAATTGTACCCGTATGCGTGATTTTGGTAAAAAATATCTCTGCTGGCACAACTGAAGTGCAGAGCTCTGTGACATGCTGTGTTTGAAACCATTCAGCATATCCTGGGGCAAAAATGTAGTGTAAGCAGCTTGATCCATCCTTGCTAATGTGCGAAAACTTTATCTGGTATGGTGCTCACACACTCATTATTTATTATTAAAGATTAGAAATTTGTGAGGATGGGCCAGGAATGGAGCTTGGCAATTGAGCTTACAAGCAGGGCTATCCTGCCTCAGCAAACAGGCTAGACAGACAAGAAACTATTGACACCAATAGCCAAGACAAGGTGGGACTTTGTCTCCTGATGCATGATGCAAAGTAAGGGTGGCTGAGGAGGTGTGGGAGGATGATTTGCACTAACTGTCTATGGTTCCCAGTGCCCTGTCAGGGTTGGGGGAGCTAATTGTGCCGCTCCCCATGCTGATGAGCACCGTGAGTGCTGTCACAGAGCCTTGTTCCACCAGAGCAGCACCAGTTACATTCCTTCTTTGAGGTTACATCGAGGAAATCTTGCACGTAGCCAAGGCCTCAGCCACCTCAGGACGCAACTTTTCAGCAATACAAGTGTGGTTGGATTTCTTCTTTATGCTGACCGCAAATGTGTGCCACCTAACTCATTCCCAAGGTCACTCCTCTGCTGATGCAGTTCCTTGAGCTTCCAAAAGACTTTCCCAGTTTTCATGATGAAGAAGAAATGGTGAGTGCTCTGCACTCTGCTCCAGACTCCATGGATACTTTCTGCTTAGGGCTGACGTTTTGGTTATTCAACAATATTAGGTAGCTCTTGCAGTTGGCTCTTAACAAAACGTGCATTGATCTTCCTTTTTAGGAAGAAAGCATTCGCATCACAGTAACCCTGGGACCTGTCCCAAGCCCTTGGCGTTGCTCAGGAGAGAGAGTCTCTGTGTGATCTGCTGGTGGGGAGGTTGTTTGGACAGGAAGAGCAAAGAGACAAGTTGGAGCTATTTAGCAGCACCTGGCAAGCCGCTGCTTTAAGCATATGCTGCTTCCAGGAACCATGCACTGTGTGTAACCTGTTAAACAAAACTGAGCTGGTGTCCAGCTCCTTTCCTTCTGCCACGTCGGATGTTGCAGACTGTGAGCTCTATAGTGTGTTTGGCCTTTGTTTGCTCGTGTTTTTTTCATCAGAGTAATTTTTCTAGACCTCTCTTGGACTTTAAAAACTGCTGGGAAAACGTTTAATTGTATCCACTGCTCTCTATCGTCAGTGTTTTTTTCTCTCTAGCATTTTTAAGGTTAATAGTGCTGAAAATGTTTATGAAACAATGCCTTCCTGAATTGTCTTGGTCGCCTGTGTGTTACTGTAATATCGAGGAATCCCTGTCTCACCACTGTTCTAACAGAAGAAAAGATTTTATTTCCCAAATGAGGCTTTCTGAAGTGCAGCCTGGGCTACTGTCATGGTAGTATTGTGGTTCAGATTAAAAACAGGACAAAGAAAAGGAGAACTCGGGTCAACCACAGATAGATAATTTTTTTTTTTTTAAATCCAGGTACAGGTTAAATTAAGCTCCACCATAACTCCATTAAGAAAATGTTTATTTTAGTCCGGGATTTCTCCTAGGGAAGTAGTTTGGGGTATGTTGGTGTATGTAAACCCTCCTGTCTTTTACCTCTAGAGGGCACCCCAGGCTTGAGTTCGGGGAGCTCCATTCTCTTCTGAAAACCGTTTTTTACTGTTGGTTTTTACAGGATTTCTGGTGTGCTCTGATCTCCTTCCAGAAGTGAGTATTTTAAAACAACTGAAGGTGTATTTGTTCAGTGCGAACATAAACAACCTCAGTTCTTTCCCGGCAGCTTTGTGTGGATCATGTCAGGGCCTTGAGCTCCTGGGATCCTGCATTGCTGGAGGGGGAGCTGCTGGGTAGGGAGCTCCAGTCCTGCTTGAGGGACTTGTTATAGTCCCACCATCCCCTCCACTCCTTGGGCCACCATCAGTCCCCTGGTGAAATTTCCCTCCTTGACTTGCAGTGATCTCAGCACAAGCTCAAGCTCTGCGTGTTTGTGTCTGGGCTTGGGTCGAAGAGGTTGATTTATCTTGAAGTGGCTTGGGGAAAGAAATTGCAAGTCTATTCTGGGGTGATGCTTTTTGATGCTAATCATGCAAATGTGGCTGCAGCCTCCTGCAAGAGGCATTGTAAAGGTAGTATAAAAACATGGGGAAAAAAAAAAAGATTTATTGGATCACACTATATCAGTTTGTCTAGCCCAATATGCTGTAGCAGATCAAGGATCGTAGCAGAGAGGAGGGGCAAAATTATAATAAAAGTAAGTATAGAAGGATCTTCCCTTCTTTTGGCAGTCAGCAGGTAGGGACTGTTCTTAGCTAAAGCTTTGGGGCTGTCCTGCTTCATAATCACTAATGGATCCAACCTCCATGAATTTGTTTAATCCTCTTTTGAATCTATACATGTGTTACCTCCATGACATCATGTGGCAGTAAATCTTTCTAATTTTGTGGTAAAAGTGGGAAAAATGTTTTCTTTGCTTCAGAAGTGCTGCCTGCTCATTTCAGTTAGTCTTGTGCCTATTTATAAGTCTTTTTCCACCTGCAACTTTTAAGCTTTAGTTTCCCAAGGTGAGTTGCCTTTGCCATGCTAACGTGTGGGATGCACCGAAGCCTCTCGCTGCTCCTTGCTTACGCCTTTCCGTCAGCAGGATGGTGGTGGTTGCGCCGAGGTATTCTGTGAAAGCCTTTTGAGCAAAGGTTTGCTTCAGAGAAACCTTTCTCGAAGTTGAACCCGACTTCTAGCTTAGCTTAATCGTGAATCGTTCATGAAGGTCAGGCACGCAAAGAAGGGAAGGCTTCTGCTTTCCAAGAAGTCTATTCAAGTGTGCAGATTGCAAGACTGGAGGGCTCTCCAGGGTTTCTTTGTGCTGAAGATCTACAAATTTTCTGCTTTAATCGGTGCTCACTGGAAGCTTTTGATGCAACATCTACTTTTTCTTTCTTAATCTTATTACCATTGGTTATTCGTTGGAAAGTTCAGGAGGCCACAGGTGTCTGGTGAGCGCAGCCATGAGTCAGGAGGTTGATTCTCCAAAAGGAAGCTGCTTCCCTGAGTCTCTGGCTTCCCAATTTGGGAAAAGAAAAAGGTACGTTGCCCCATCTTGCATGTGACTTGAAGTCTTTCCTAAAAGACAGATAGAAGGTGTCAAACAGAAAAGTGGTAGAACATTAATGGATCAAAAATTAACTGCCATCTCTCAAAATGTAGCTGTAAAAAAGCTCTTTAGTGAGCTTTTAGTGCGTTTTTAACAGTTAACTATGGTGAGCAGAAATATGGTAACAGAAGTTTCTTCGGTTCATAGACCAGTGTATATAGTGTTAAATGCAGGCTAGAAACACAGGGGTACATTTTTAACAGAGTGTGTAACCAACTACTGAAACCTGGCAGGGCTCTTGGTGGCTCTATTGCCTGATACTTTAAGATCAGGACAGATCTGCTCTTGTTGAAAAGGAAGTGAAGGAGGAAAATGGTCATTCCTGGCT